CTGGCTCGGGCGGGGAAGAGGCGGCGGCTAAGGCGGCGGCCACGCTCATGGACGGCCTCTATAAAACGATGGATGGTGAGTCATCGCTTGAGTAGCTGGACGAACGGTCAGGTCTGTCACTAGATATTCTACTACGACTACTTAATCGTTTGGGTAGAGGGGCGACTAGCGACCCGGTAGCGGTAGCTGAGCGGGTCCATGGCGAGCTGATGGTGCAGAACCCTCTGGTGGGCAACAAAAGCGAGTCGGGTAGTGCAGGAATGGGGTGGGTTGATAGGCACCTCCTCCACCGGCTGTGCCGATCCATCGTTCGAGGAGGTCGACTGCAAGTAATTCAGGCAGCTCTATGGAAGATGGAAGTGAACGGTCGAGGGAAGGAGTAGTAGTGGGAAGGAGGTTACTGGTATATGATGGTGTAATGGTAGTCCCATGGCCCTCCACCACTGCCGCCTCCACTCACTAGTCCTAGTGATCTCACAGATGACGTCACTCAAGTGCCTGCTAATACGATAATAAAGTGTTTGGGTGAAACCACTCGGGGAGGATGTATGGTTTAAGGTTGGGGTTTGCTTTAGCTGAGGACTATCGAGTGTCGATGGACGGTCGGCTCGGCCATATACTGGACCGAGTCATTACTACTGATAGAGTGCCTGGCGTGCTACGTCGACATGATGTTGAAATTGAACTCACTGACAAGTAAAGGACCCCTAGTGTTCTCTGTGATATAGTGTTCAGATTATCGAGGGATAACGTTCGCCTTATGTGTGCTCTATTCCAAGCTCACGACTTGGGTAGCATTGGAAAGATGGAGCTGGAAGACCATGGACAGTAGTTGGAGGCTCTCTGGAGTCGATTGCATCGGTCGTTGGGCAGGCCTCTCTGTCTGTGGTACCTCTTCCGAGGCTCCTGCCCCTTGGGGGAGTCCTGTCCGTTGAAGCATCCACAGGCATTACAGTGGGGAACTGAACCTGGCAAGCAAGCCAATCGGCTCTGTTCAGACCAGATATTAACAGGTCAGCGGCCTAGAGCACGCTCAAGGAGTGTGATGCAGTGTTGAAATATATGTAGGGTTCGCTGAGCTGAGCTCAGTAGTTTGCGCTTTGAGTGTACAAAAATGTCTTCAGAACTCTCATATTTTCATCAACACGTTGATCATGTGCATACTTTCCACATTGTGTATATCAGGTCGATGCATGGACCCAATGAGATGCACTAGAGTACACAAGTTTGGGCCGGAGGAAGTTGAAGATTATGTGAGCATCGCAGTAGACCGTTCGCGGTTTTGATATGTGCTTCGGCCTCAGTTGATGACAGGACGGATACCCCGTAAGGAGGGCGGGAGTCTTCCAGAGCCGCTCATGCGTGCTCCGGCGCCTTTTTATCCTCACATGCCACCTAAACGAAAACGTAATGTTCTGAAGATTGGGGTGGAAGTGACGTTATGATTGTAGGTAGCGGCTCGTATGCAGCATATCATCATCAACAGCAGCAACAGATGCCACCATATGGTGGTGCTCCTGGGATGGGCATGGCCTGGGGAGCAGGAGGAGCAGGGCCACAGTACGGCCATAAAGGGCGTAGCTGATTACACCATCCTTGAGTGTTGCGCTGTAGTTCACGTTAATGATGAGTCGAGTGGGATCTACAACCATGCCTGTCCAGTCCATACTTCCATTTATGACTCTATGCCGGACCGCTAGTTGCGGCCCATCCCGAGTCTTGCTATATCCTTACTGCAGCAGAACCCACAAGCCCGACTGTCATCTTGAGCCATGGATTTATGCAGAACAATACTAAGCATGCTATTCTTCGCAACACTCTGACTTCCATCTGAACAACTTGGTTTGTTACACAGCCAGCCGTTTTGGAGCCGCCCCATGGGGTATCCAAGATGCTGAACCCCGCGCACGCCGCAGACCCGACCTGAGGACCAGTTATGACCAGGATGATGGCGTCGGCTGAGAAACCAGTAGCAGCAGGGATGCGCAGCCCGATTCCAAGGTTATTTTAAAACCACACTTCTGCTGGTGATCTCGGCACGGGCATAGATTACCCGTGTGTTCAGCTGCTCTGTCCAGTGTTGTGGGTCCCGACTCTGCTTCAATCTCAGAGCAGTCGAAGGTGTATAATCTCGAAAGTGTACGATAAGCGCACTAGGCTTACCCCGCTTGATGTAACCTTGTTCTCCCCAGTGAGCTCCCTAGGGGTTCTTCACAAAATAGTAACCGAACAGCGCGTTGTGAAGTGCGAGGACGAGAACTTACGGGTTGGTCCCTCTCGTATCCAACTGCGAGAACACCATGATTCAGCACCGTCGGGCAATCAGCCCGAAAGTCCGTTCCATATAGGAGCATAGCAGCCGTACAGCAGAGAGCCCCTCTGCCACAGTGTTGAAAGGCGCGCAATCCTCCATCAATGGTAACACTAACTGGTCCATTAATGGCTATCGCTGCCATGGTTTCGATCTCAGTGTCACAAACACATAGCGTACGTAATGGGGCTAAAGGTCAGATGGATCAGAAGTTCAGCAAACAAACGTTGCTGAACTGATGACATCCTTCTAAACATTGCTCCTACAGGTTGAATAATTTGGATTGGAGGCTTGCTTGTACGGATTATCCTTTTCCGAGCCGATCCCGTGATCCATAACGTATTCAAACGCGCTAGCAATCAATCCACCGAGACAGGCCCTGTAGAGGTCAAGAATCGCGTGAAGATGAGGTAAAATATGGTCGTCCACGTATTCCAATAAGACGAGCTACAGTCGATTAACTCTCCTTCCGGGAGTGACACGAGGTCCCCAGTAAGATTCTTGTGAAGACCCTCGATGGCACTTGTTGAGGATATTCTCGGCAAGTATCATCGCAGACCAACGAAGGATCCCACCAGTAGCTGAGAAGGCCCAGGAACTGCCGCAGTGACCCTGATCTTCAACAGCCGTAACCCAGCCCTTAGCAACATAGTTGACAGCTCTTGGAAGATCCTCAACGGGGGTCTCATCACCGATGGTATTCGTTCCCTGAAGGAGGAGTTCCACACCAGTATCGGTGTGAGAGGGATAGCTGAGATGCTTGACGCCACTGGTAAAGCTTGCACTCTCCGGCTTTGTCCCGAGTCTCGTCATTCTGAACGATGAGATGAGCGAAGGAAGTCACCTTGAGTGTGTAGGACAGACCTGCAGTAGCGGTGTGGCACTCTGGTACTAACTTCAGTATATGTTCACAACCAGATGATCCCACCTTTAGCATTCTATTTCTCTATGTAGCGGAGGTCATCTGCAAAGATCTTCATTCGGTAATCATCATGTCTACCGATGTTGTGTCCGAATCCGACCAGACGAGAATACTTTTCAGGATGCGATAACCAGCCAGCGAAGTGACTCTTTACTTCTCCTTGTAGGCTCCGGTATACTCGGCGGTAACGACTGCGAGATGGAGAACGAAGACCAACATTTGAGTTAGGCAAACGATTTTCACTGTGATGGGACTGCCTCCCGTTACCGCTGCTGATTCACCCGCTGTTCTCCGATACCATGGTGCATGCTGTTAGAGTACGCCGCGGACCAGGTGCATGAAGACGTACTCGAAAAGCCCTAGGAACGACGCAGTGCAATGTCTGTGACCGTAGATTGGTCTTTAAGAGTTTGGATTCACGTGTTGATGAGTGCAACACTTAGCGCGGTCGATGAGCTCTGCTTATTGCGTGGGCTGAAGTACTTGTAGACTACGAGAACTTGGACTCACAGCACAGTCTTATAGACCTTTACACAGCTTGCGGGTCTGTCTCAGGACTGGATATTGGTTTACGGTGCCCGTCGCACTCGTCCCGGGTTCCTGGTTTACGTGCCGCGGGTTGTAGTTTGATAGTTTGATCTGGTCTTCTGCTGCGCCCACCCAAACTCCGTGGTTGTAGAAAATATACGGGCCGTACAGTACGGCTTCTCCAACTAAGTTATACAGCAGTGCGCAGTCATGTGTCATGATGGTTTTCGTAATGCGATAGAGTGTACACTCTGAAAGTTGAAGTTTTAGATGTTCGCATCGTGATAGGTATACTAGGTCGCGGACGTAGTGCCACTCGATGGTAGAATAGGTCGTACCGACGGCATTCTAATTAGTTGAAATCGGGGGTTTATCATCCTTGTCCACGCTGCGTTCAGTATTTGAAAAATGGTGTATGAGGCGTAGAATGCTCAACCTTCGACATGGCCTTCATATCACAAAGGCTCTGATGAGGTTGTGTAAATGTCTTCTTCCGTGCAGATGTAGCCTCTCTTATGTAACCTCTTAACGTGAGCTAACGCGACTCTAAATCACCGTAGTCGTAATCATAAGGGCTAATTGAAGAACAGTTGACCTCAACGGCTCTGTGTGAGTCGAGTTGTCGTGATTGATACTATTGACCACCACCATTATTGAGAAGGGCGATTATGTTCATCCTTGGATTGGAGCACGGCTTCGGGAACATCGGTAGCTTGCTGGGAATATTGCTAAGTTACGTTGCAGACGCTGATTCGGTACGGAGCGGTGCCGCGGAGTGAGCCCTTCAACTGGTTCACAGCGGAGCCAGTTCAACGACCAGTGTCGCTGAGTGTTCAACGTCACTTGAGGTGGCGTAATACTCTCCTTGGGACTAGCTGTCGTAGCTGGTGTATAAGTTATGATGCGGAATCATTGATTCCTCAACCTTGGGAATAGATACTGTCCACTGTTGTAGCTTCTTGCGTGCTCCTGGTACTAGGTACAGATTCAATCGAGAAGTAGAGGTATCCTATCTCTATACCGCCAACCGAGTAGGTTCAGATCAGAGGATGATCCTAATAAGCTGGCTGGCCGTTGGTCGCTGTCGAACTAGGCATCAAAGGGTGCCCATTCGAGTTATGCAACAAGTTTGAATATAAGCAGCCGTTCAGGCGCTGTTGTCAACTCCTCCCATGACTGCGATGCGATCTTTGCTGATACCATGAAATGGAGCGAACATCAAGTTACAACTGCTATACTCACGTATTCATTCTCTTTGTACTCTAATAATATGCTTCTGCGTTCACTGTGGATCTACTCTCGCTGCCCATTCCTTTAGCCTTTCGAGAATGGTCTGGTTGCTACTACCTTTCGAAAGTAGCTCCGATCGATCTGTGTACTATCTTCCTCGGGGAACTACCACTGTTGGTCGAGCTCACTCGGACATAGTCGTCGCCAATGGTGAGTCCCGCTCATCGCCTTCAGATCATGTCCTTTTATCAGACAACACGATTTCGCGGAAACAGTGTGAGTTCATAGTAACAGCCGAGTCGTCGCAGGCATGTCCGATGCTTCGTTTGAAAGACCTCTCGCGAGTAGGTCGACTTTTTTAGCTTTATATAGCTCATAATTGTTGCTCAGTATAACACAACTTATCACAATGGCAGCGAACTGAGCACTGTCGATAGATCAGTGCTGCTGTCAGATGGCGATGTTGTCAAAATTGGCTCGGCATCCGAAGGGTTCCAGTAAGCTCTGTGTGGATCTCTCGACGAGTGTACGACTGATTCCATGCACACTTCACTGAGAGGAGACTTCCTTAAGTTGATCGATGTGTTCTATCACAGCTTTTTGGATCGGTTATGTACGAGCGTTGTGACTTAGCGTTGGTCCGATCTAGACTCTATCTCACATGATGTGCGAATCTGTGGTCTTCTTTTCAGAGTTGTAGAGATTGTAATGTTGGCTTATTGCTTTCGGCCAAGCGATGGGGCTCTCTGCGGCAGTGCAGGCATGCAGACTGTTCCCAAACTCGACGACTCCACTCATTGTATCGCCTCAGGAGCGATAAACCCCTGTGACCCGACTGTGAGTATCACCGTCGCGCTCCCCTAGATACGAGTAAGCTAGCCACTTATATTCAGGTGCTCAGCGCCGTGGTGCTTGGCAAGCCCATCTTATCCTCAACCGTTGCTGAGTTTCTCACGAATCGTGGAAAGTGCAGCAATCTCGCAACGTTCGTCAGAGATATGGGTGTCAGTCTTACTGCGAAAAACGTTGAAGGGTAGGACTAGAGATACTAGATAACACGATATCAATTTTGTTGTCGTCATTGATCAGCTATTTTCTCCGATGGATAAGTACGAGTTATCGTCCCATGGTCTCTACTGCGAGCACTATGCCGGACTGTGGTAAACTTATGCATGAGTAAGCACATCTTAGAATTTCCCCTTCGCTTTTGCTTTCGAGCTCATAGTGGCCTACGGAAACATTCAACTCAGGAATAAGCTGAGACGGTTATAGCATTTCAGTATAGAGTCTTATTGACTCGCCACACATCCCCCAGTCGTCTTTGGATCTGTCCATATGTGTTGTGGCAGTAACCCTCTGGATGATATTCCTGGAGATGCTCCCTGTCGATTGAGAATCCTATCAGCGTGATAGTGTCAGGTACCTCTCGTCTCCTATTCATGGAGTTAACAGAAGACTACTGTTTTCGAGTGTCAATTTCAAACTCCAATCTGATGAAGCGCGAGATCATCTCGAGCAGCCGTTGTGTCTCACATCGGCAAGTCTATCGCTGGAGCCTGACGACAGTTTGGTTGAGTCGACAGTATTTGTGGGCGGAGCGAAGGTGATTTGAAGAACATGAGTGAGGGCAGCGGAGGGTGGATTCCTAGGTTACATTCTTCAGCCCTCCCCATCACAAGTGTGCAAGCTGAAGCGAGGCAAGGCTTACCATGCGACTATCGAGCAAGTTGCTGCGTCTATATTACTCGGGGAAGAAAAAGGCCAATTTAGCCTGTTTTGTAAGAAGTTACGTGGATCCAATTACAGAACTTCTTCAGCTATTTTGGATGTCATTGAGCATGACGAGCAACAACAAGTTGGCAGCGCCAAGCTGAGGTCCAAGGTGTCTCTCAGGCCCTTAGAGACATCCCAGTTCGCTGGTAGACAGAATGAACGCTGAGCGAATAGGACTCAGTGTCTTATGTTAGGCCGGCCAAGTTCAGTTAGGAGCACGGCTACGGTGTCACCATCACCTTCTGCAGAGCGGAGCAGTTCGAGACGATCTCAGCTGGGTGGCTTGATCAAGAGCCATCATGCCGCCCTCTCTGGTGATGGAGGATGGCACATCCGGAAGCGTCCCTGGGAAGAACCGAAGTGAACATCTCTTGCTGCATCAGTTCTGAGTGATAGTCGCAAATCACGATCAGAACAACTGTAGAAGATCTGCATCTGGATGAGGGCTCCAAGGCGATACCAGTGGTGAGCTCCACACGAAATATTATTGAGGAAAACACAGTGAGTTGCAGCATAGCTGTTATAAAACCATAGATAACAGTCATGTATCCTCTAGCGTGAGCCGACGAAGACTGTTAATTTCAAAGCCTTCCGCCGTCGTGGGTGCCAAGATGGGGCCATGCCAGTGAGGAAAGGAGCCGTCCAGTTGGTATCATTCTGGCGGAGAGATATGTCATTACATTATCATCCTAGTGACCTTCACACCTGACCTCGCTGATGGCTACGTGACACTGAAGACGATATGCGTCTGTTCGATGAGTTCCTCGTCTACATCAGCGCTATTTGGCTCGCGTTTATGACAGCTCTAGGAT